ATGCTCAGATTCAAACTCTGAACAGAATAGCACTTCTGTTTTTAGGCTTGCAATTTAACGCACAGTACATAAATATTTATTTCCAGACTCTATATGTAACTATGTGACAGACTATTTATTAAGACGTAATAATTTTTCAGCAAGTAGAGAGATATCTGTATGTTGTTTGAGCTGTCGTGGGCTTGACTGAGCTAACTAGAATGTACGTACATACATATCCTTTGAATGTGTTGGCCAATCGAGGCGAGGAGCAAGAAGAATTGCTTTCCAACGCGTCACTGACGCGGCGTCAGAGCCGAACTTGGTGATTTGGCCATTTCCAATTCGTTCCTTGGGATCCGGGGCGGAGCTGTCCTTGTTCACTGGTTGAAGGGGGAAGGGTGCCATCATCGCGCACGTCACCACTCCTGTTTTCATGTTCAACAGTTTAAACGTAACAATGAGCAATCACACAAAATATTTGTATATAATCACTTCTTTATTTCTACTATTCGTGACCAAGCCTGAAAATAACTACCGTCATGGCATATACATATATTATGTAGTACATAAATGGACACATCATACCATGACTTGTGTTTAAACCGTGTGTCATCGATTTTTAAAGTGCATTTCCATAAATTGGTTGCCATGGAACATAAATCAAACATTCGAATGTATATACGGTCAAGAAGGGAATTTAGATTTATTGTGGTGTCAAAATATTTAATTAATTGATTACAATTTAACGCAGGAATTTAATTAGGAATGCGCATACCACCTTAGGTTAGCCCAGACTAATCTATGCAGATTATCTGCCGGCCCCGAACAGCATTTCGTCTTGCAAACCAGTTCATTCCAGACTTTTTGCAAATAAAACCCATTAGGTCTTATCATATTACATAAATAGGTTTTATTTGGGTTTTAAAGTATTTTATTATGGTTTTAATGTATTTTAAGTGGATTTTACCTCAATACTATATTCTAAAATTTGGAAACATCTGCCTACCACACGTTGGACTAACAATGCGATGGTGTGAAGTGTAACCCTCCAATTTGGTTGAAATTTTGAAATTAAGTGCTCCATGTCAATGCAACTAACGTTTCTTCCGGCAGGTTGCGCGATGGTCGGAATGTGTCAAAATATTTGAGGTCAAAATTGAAAAATTGGCTATTCTTAACACGGGAGGAGAATGGAAGTTGAATTTGCTTCCCCTGCCTGGTAAAAATCGCCACTTTTTGAACTTTGACCTCAAATATTTTGCCAAATTTCGACCATCGCACAAACTTGTTAGGTATATGTATGCCTACGTAGATATGTATATGTAATTAGTTATGAATCTGTACTCACTCCATCTTTAACTCTCTTCCAATAAATACTCTCCTCTGTCTCCTCTCACTGTGTACCACTTATTTATGTATAATCATATATACATAACATTGGTGGACCGTCGAGTACTTTCTTTCGCTCCTCCCACTCAAAATGGATTTTAAAATTTTCAAAATTCTTCCGACGACTAAGCAGCTTGACCAACGCCCCTTAGAGCATTGTCATTTTGCTTCCGATAGGGAAACTTCCCAAATCTCTCTTCTCAAAACCTTGTGTAAACTGTGTGATTTTCCTGTGAAACTTTTTTTGTGAATTTTCGTCATCTGGTCTGTAAATTGGATTATCCTCCCGGATGGTATCAGGTCTGTAAATTGGTTCTAAACCACCCTGAAAATCTTCCCCCATTCTTAAAATTTCCAAATCTCCAGTCCAAAATTTACATTTCATAATTCGAGCAAATATGCAAAATTTAAAATTCCGTTATTTGTTTTAAACACGTCAAAAAAATATATGCAAAATTGTCCTTCGAAATTGTTAAAAAATCGTAAAAATATTGTAAAAAAATTCCGTTTAAATTCTGAAAAATTGTCATCAAAATTCGTTCAAAATTTGTCAAAATTTCTGCATATTATATGAAAAAACAGTCATTTTTATTCATTTCGTCTGGAAAATTGTCCCAATTTTTTATCAAATGTTGTTGCAAAAATGTAATCTGATTCACTTTGTCTCAAAATTCTGCTGAACTTTTGTGCTCGATCTGCGTTGTCACTACTTTCCCAGGCTCAGAATGAAATATAACGCCTTGAGATTAATGTTTGTAATGAGCAACGTCTACATATTATTTGCGTGTTCAAGTATGGAAATCCACATTGTACATAGTTCCCCTTTTTTAACGAGTCACGGTTATGGGTCACCCAGACAAAACCCTGCGTCTTCGAGTTGTCCGGTTATGGGTCACCCCGACAAAACCCTTACAAGTCTGCGTATTTATGTATCTCCGATGTCCCGATGGACCACATACCACGACCACAAAAATGTATTTTTCTTTGTTCATCGTTTTGTCCCAATCTGCAAGTTTTATATGAGTCAACCACCACCACAACGCCTGAGATGACACAATTCCACCACCGATTGCGAGCCATACCATCTTCTCAAGTTCCAGCCCTGCAAAATTACTGCGTTATTCGATATGTGTATTAAATTGTTCAGTGTTATTCATGCAAAATCTTTGTTCATGTTTGTTTTCCGGAGTCATTTCATATTTCATTTTTCTATGAATTTTACCTATTTCTCCAACCCTCAAAATTTCTAATTCAAATTGTGACTACTGAAATTGTTAGTTTGCAAACCTACACACTCTTTCAGACTATTTTTCAGGAGAAAAATTTTTTCGTGAGAGGGTAGTGTTAGGTATATGTATGCCTACGTAGATATGTATATGTAATTAGTTATGAATCTGTACTCACTCCATCTTTAACTCTCTTCCAATAAATACTCTCCTCTGTCTCCTCTCACTGTGTACCACTTATTTATGCATAATCATATATACATAACAAACTGCCTGAAGAAACGTTGATTGGATTGTTATGGATCACTTCATTTCAAAATTTCAACCAATCCCGAGGGTCACACTACACACTATCGCATTGTTAGTTCGCTACCAAATAAACTGGAGCCCTCACTGCACTTTGCGCGATGATTCCTCCTTGGTATTCAATTATTTTTCTTTGGTGAAGCTATGGTGATCTAATGGTTAAAAAACACCTAAGTATGCATTTACTCCAACGTTCAAAAGTGACAAAACCACATTACTTTACCATTTCTTAACCGATTTTTATTAAATAAGTGACGAGAGTTAATTATGATAGTCTACTTTTGGATTCCAACTCTGGTCGGTTGTGAGCCTACCCATTCCTGAGATATTCTCATAAAACACCCTCCAAAAAGTGACGTTGCTTTATACGAAAAAATTGAGGACCTAAATCAAAAATGTACTGTGAAAAAAAGTTTTTAAATATTTTTAGCTTTAAATTAACTTTGAGATAATCCAAATCGGTTAAGAAATGGCCACAATATTCATAAATGCAAGTACCACTGCTCACGTGGTGGTATTGCATATTGCTATGGTCCGTTGCTATTGCAAGTATTTTAATCGCAATTCCCTTCGCTACACCTAAGCCGCCCGTTTTAGGGATCTATCTTGTTGTCCGTCCGTCCGCTTATTCAGGTTTGGTAGAAAATGGTGGACGAGCTTCAACATTTCACCAAACGTCCTAATGGTATCTACAATCACAACGGTTTCGATGTAGCATTGTTGGATAGAGTTTGGCACGGATATTGTGTTGATAACTTAAAATTTAGGACAAGTATCGTAGATTTGTGTCAGACTTACGCTTATGAGTTGGAAATTATGGCATCTCGTCTAAATTTTACGGTTCATGTGAAGATAGTTCACGGAAATATTATAAATCTCCCTGTTTTGTACATTTACCCTAATTTTCGTATGGACGATGACTATTTTGTAGAGCAGATTCTATCCATAACGTATTCTCAGGAACAAGTTCCAGCCGTATTTTATTGTAGAAATCGTAATATATTTTCAAATACTTGGACAGTATGGTTAACTCCATTTAATTGGACGGTTTGGATAACTATCGTAGCACTCCTGGCAGCAGCCTCTATTCGGAAGATGGCGGGTACTTGGGACGTAAAATTAGTACTTTTCGAGATATACTTATATGCTGCGTCAACCTGTAAAAAATTTTACCCTAGTTCACACCTTAATCGTAATATCCAGCATCATTATTCCAATTGTCTACGAGTCCCTTGTGGTTGGAAACGTAATTGCGCCTCCAGATCCCCCAGAATACAAAAATGTTGACGAATTTCTGGATGTGTTCGATAAAATAATTTTAACCACTACATCAGACCATGCTGACGAAAAGTTATTACTATACGAGTTTGAGAAATTAAATATTACAGATAAGTATAAAAATGCATTTGAAATTGTGTACAATACAGATACTTCGTATAAGGAAATAATTGAATTGTTTAAAAGTGGAAGAAAGCAAGTAGGAGTTTTAACACACTTGATAACAGGTGTCATCGACAAAATTAAATTGTTGTATGACCAAGCAGGAATGAACGACGTTTATGCCTGCAGCTTTTTTATGTTGGAGCAAAAATCAATCTCTTATAACTGTTTTGGGGTTCCCTTTTTGAAAGAAGCTTTACGACTGGATACCACATTTAGAGAGTCTGGGTTTTACAGCTTATGGGAGGATTTATACTGGACAAAAGAAAATTCTCAAAATATGAAAAATCAAGCCATCCTGCCAGGATTTAGTAAACTTGTTACTTTATTACATTTGAAAATGTTTATTGCAACATGGGCAATCGCAAGTGGAATGTATGTTTTTGTAATGATAATTGAGTTAAGATATACACATAGGAGCACCATTCTGCTAAAGATATACTGTGCTTAAATTCGTAATGGAGATTGCATATATTTGGATCATGAGCGTGTGTGTTTATTGTTTTCATAAAATTAGCAAGATTTGTTAATTTAATGAATACTACAACATGTTGCTATATATTATCGAGCCACAATACGTATTTGGTACTTAGCATTAATTATATATTAATTATGATTACTGAAACTCTGCGAATAAATTACAAATAAAACAACTGGTTTTCCCTTTAAGTTAAAATGATAAATGTGAAACTAATTGGAAAGTAAAGAGAAAGGTGATAGCAAAGAGAAAGTAAAAACCATAAGTTAACAATAGGCGTAAGCTTCTATACTAAGGGAAATATAAGTAGGATAAAATTATGATCGCAATTACATACAATTATTGCCAGAATATTATTACTGCCAGTGATACATAACTAATAGTGAATTAACGTTCACCAAACGGAACCCAAAGGCAGAAATGTGAAAAATCACATAAATCATAAGTCATGATTCATAAACCATCTTCTCAGAGTGGAGATAAGCGGCGTCATATTCTTGTCAGATATTATGTAAATCGAGGACGCTTGGCAGATGGCGAATCACGCAAAAACTCCAGCAGTTTCTCCGAATCGCTAACAAATAAAAATTTATTCTGACTGTGTGAACCAAAAGTGAAATTCTTGAGAATTTGAAGCCTTTTTTGATAAAATTTTCAACCTTCTTCTTCACAGCAGCCATATCGTGTACATAATTCGGCAAATTTCAAGATCTCGAAGTCATTTTCCCACTGGCCAGAGTCGGGAGCATCTTGTTGCACATTTCGATCAAGGATTGCACTTAAAACTGACAATATTAAACATAAATTAGTAATTGTACAACAAATGTAATTACTTTCCATTTCCGTAGCGTTTGTGTTCACCTTCGCCCCCCAAGTTTGACGACGCCTTCAGTCATTTATTTCATCTCGGTGGCGAACATGGCTCCAGAAACAGAAACAGGTGCTCTCCATGGAGAGGATTCGTGTAACTGGAACGATCTCGTGTGCACAATTTAATTAATTTATCTATACAAACGTGTATAATTAATAAGCAAGAAATATTTAGAATACTAGCGATACATACATAGGCAAATAGTCAACTGATAAAAAATCCTTGCACAAATGTGTGCAATTTGGAATATTTCCTTAAATTAGCTGGTAACAGGGATGTTCTCCTTTCTCGAGAGTATTTTGCACCCATGAAACTTATCAAGCATCATTTGAACAATTTTACGTTTAAGCACACCCAACAAACTAGAAATTTTGCTGGTACATTAAAACCAGAAAAACAACACAGAACCTGCAACTGCGACTCCGTACAGAACGAAAATTGTCACAACGCCCCCGTTCAACCCTAGCGAGAAGGAACTATCATCCTTGCTTATGCTAATTGCAGGCTCCCTGTCTGCCATGGCCCTATACCCGAGTTCCTGTTCTATGCGAGCATAAATTCCTGTTTCAATCAGGCTTGTGTAATATTTTGGCATTTTGGAAAAACCCTCGTCGTCGAATATTAATCCTTTGGGACGTGGGCTTAGTATCTCTTGGCCTTTGTGAAATTCTTTCCTATGATAGTTCAAGGTTAGGAAGTCATACTCAAATTTTAGATCGTCTGATTGAGCAATGAAGACCGCTTTTTGGGAACAATCAACAATTTCTGTTTCTATCTTTCGCTGCATATAGGTCACATTGAGGTCTTTTCTTGAGTAGTCAATTCCCTTTGGGAAATGGGCGTGACGTGGATTCAAAAGTTGCAGCAATTGAGCCAGATGGGGCCACTCTAGCAATGGAACCCATTCGGGACCTGTCTGCTTCAAAAGGCTGTAGAAATCTAACTCATTGGTTAAATACGTTAGAAACTTGAATGCTATGACATCAAGGCCGGGTAATTTTAATGGGGTTGATAACAATTTATAACAATTGCTGGAATCGTGTCGATTTTGTAAGTCGACGAAACCTGTGTTCTGATATTCATAACTGCAAACACCTACCCAATAATTTGAAATAAGGTTGATTTTTAATTTCTCTCTCCAATTGAGCAAGAAATCGGACGAAGTGTAATATGAAGACGAATGTATAGTACCATCTTCGCATAGAAGATCTGCAAATGTTTCTGGAATTACGTAATTTAGCTTGGAGATCATCAATCCATTATAACAATTTGTTAGAATGACAGACATTAGACTCCAAATGCCAAAAATGTATCGGAATATGATCAATTTGTCAATCTTCATCGGAACCGGGTGTCCTTCTTCTAGCAAAGTGGAAAGCACGTAAAGCCAGGGGGAAAACGAGACGTTTTCCACCTCGGCATAGCGAACGTACGCATAAACAATGGCTGTAATGACAAAAAGGCAAATTCCTAGCCCAATCCATAAATCGGGTTGGAACGAATCTACGTAAAAGCGAAAACTTAAATAGGATTCGGCATGACAGGTTAAGAATTGAAATCCCGAGAATTTCAAGTTGACCGTTGTAGTGTCCCAGTGGAGCAATAAAATATCTCCTAATCCGATTTCCGCGTAATTGATAAGCTTTGAATCGGCAGAGGTAAGAGTCGTATTAGCTTTGCGGAACACGGCCTGAGCTAAATGTTCAACCGTGTAAGGACGAGAACGGTTAAATGGATTAAAAGGATCGATATCATTTACTAAAGTGATGTTTATTGCTGAATTATCCTTCCGTAATTCCATATCCAGCAAATAGAAACCCCAATATTTAGGTGGCGTTGTAAAGTTAATAAAGGTCCTTATTGCATTGTCAATTTTTTCCACACAATTCAAATTTCCCTCGTGAACGTATCGTTCGCCTTGGTTCTTAACACAGAAACGTCCCAACCTACCCTCCCGAGAAATGCAAGCTATGCCCATTTTATAAGTTTGCCCTTTATACGAATCCCTCTCCAATAACAAACGCAGACCTCCCACTTTCACACGATGCCCCACGACTACCGCAAAAAGGTTCTTGTCGCGGATGAGGAATAAGTCCTTAGGCTCGGTAGGATAGGGTATGAAATAGAGGTGTTGCTCGTTTGCGAAGTACGTAGGTGTTTTATTATTGATTTTCAAAAGGTATGTTCCGCACTGTTTGTGACCAAACTTATGATGAAATAACAAACTTCAAATACATTTAGGAAGCTGTGATTTTTTTCAGTTCTGTAGGTTAACATGAACACTAGCAATAAATCAGCAAACTTTACCTCGACGGAAAAAATGTCAGATTTGCAAATTAAATATCGTAGTGTGATTTAAATTTTAAAGCTAGAGGAGCAATCCGTGTCGCAGATTTATGATCGAATGCTTAAAATTTACGACGAAAACTGCTCAACACAAAACACAAATTCAATTGGGTCAATAATTTCAAATGATGGCGAAAAGAGGTCTCGGACAAAAAGCTGCTAGAACGCCCAAAATCTGTTTCTCCCACAGAAAGGCTCCGGAAACTAGAGGAACCAATAATGAGAGATCCGCGATTGAAACTGTCCTATTTAGCAGATGAGATGGGTGTTCCGAAACCAACAATTTGTTCCACGTTGACTGAAGACTTCGGTATGAAAATGGCTTCCGCCCGTTGGGTACAAAAATTGCTTCCGCCATCTCAAAAACAAGATCGAGTTGACCTTTGCAATGCAAATTTTAACCTATTAAATGAAACCTGGAACCTGATTCATATTTTAATAGTTGGATATGATACTTGGGTTTACTATTATGACCCGGAGACCAAATAATAATTCATAAAATGGAAGCACGGGGGGTCGCCCCAGCCCATGAAAGCAAAAGTGCAAAAACCTGCCAAAAAATTGATGATTCCCATTTTCAAGGATACCAAAGGTCCCCTCCTTATAACATTTATTGGTCAAAATACTATGATAAATGGGGCAGCCTATGCAGGAATCCAGAAGGAGCTGTGTGCTGTGGTTGAAGAAAAACGTGGGGTCAAAAAAAAGAGTTGGTGCATTTTTAGCACGCCAAAGCCCCACCGCATACCTGGCATTTTGCGAGGGCTGCTGCAGACGGAAATCGCTTCACCTAGATAAACCACCTCCTGTACAGTCCAGACATGACCCTTGGTGATTATTATTCGTTTCGAAACTTCAAGAAAGACATCAGGGGGAAACGGTTTTCTGATGATAATGAAATCTAGTCGTAAATTTTGGCATATTTTCGAGGTAAATTTTGATGAGCTATTGCTAGTGTTAATGTTAGCCTACAGAACTGAAAAAAATCACAGCATCCTACATGGATTTGAAGTTTGTTATTTCATCAAAAGTTTGGTCAGAAACAGTGCGGAACATACCTTTTGAAAATCAATAATAAAACACCCACGTACATCCATTTCTCTTGTCGACGTTGATTTCCCCATTTTGAATTTAACGAGGTAAAAAAGTTCATAAGAAGTATGGCTACCCGGCACGTGGCAAAACGTGACTTGGTCACATCAATTAGCGCGAATGTGAGTTTTGATATTTTGCCAATATGTGGGTCATTACTCGGTGTAGGAAGAAACATTTCAGTTGGGAGGTGATCTCCATTTGAATGGAATGTACGGGACTCTACGCCATCGTATAAGATTTGCAGGTCGCACGGGTAAACGTGATCGAGGAGATAATCAATTTGAACCATGTTGGTCGCCATGATAAGATCTCGAATAATTAGAACGATCAGTTTACATAAAGAGTGTAATAAAATTTCTGAAAGTGGAAATATCTATTTCTCGAAATTTCAACTTCAGTGTAATTTGTGAGATTAAGAACCTGAAGTTATTGTCATTTCCGAAGTTTTCCCAAGCCAAGAAAACGACAGAGCTGCTCCCTTAACATTCGAATGTTTGCTTTATGTTCCATGGTAACCAATTAATGGAAATGCACTTTAGAAATCGATGACAGACGGTTTAAAACCAAGTCATGGTAGGATTTGTCCATTTACTAATGTATGCATATGCCTAATGGCCATGATAGTAACCATTAGCAGGCTTGGTCACCAGATTATTTATTTATAGTAGAAATGAAGAACATGCATGCATGTATGTTAAGTAGACCTGTGTCCAAATAATTATATAATTATTTGGACATTCCTTATGTAAGGAGTGGGTCTAAATACTCATGTATATACATATGTATACGAATTATGTGACTGGTATATCTATGGCTCATAAATACATGCATACATATATGTAGATGGATATGTGCTACAAATTTTTACACAATTTTGAAACAAGTCAATAATAGATTTAACTGGAATATGTATGTAGATTACCTACATGCTGAATTTATCCTGCAAAAAAATTACTCAAGTGTGTTTATGTACGTATATCGATACTCGTCCTCTTACAGTGGGATCAATGAGTCACTATGAAATTACAAGGCCTATTTTTCCTCAAATATTTGAAACGTATTTATGTAAATATATATTGACGGGAGAAAACTGGATGGAGTATAATAATTAGAGTTTCGCCAAATGTTAAAATGATTCAAACTCGAAACAGAATTACTGTTCCACAATTGCACTTCTGTTTTTAGGTTTGCAATTTAACACGCTAAATATTTATATTTAGTTTCAGATTCTATAACTATTTGACACACTATTAGGAAGTATTAATTTTTTTAAGTAGAGAGATATGTGTATGTTATTTTTGTCGTGGGCTTGACTGAGGATGAGCCTATCCTTTGAATGTGTTGGCCTATCGAGGCGAGGGGGAAGAAGAATTTCTTGCCAACGCGTCACTGACTTGGCATCAGTTCCGAACTTGGTGATTGGTCCTTTTGCCAGAGTTTCTTGGGACCCGGGGCGGAGCTGTCCTTGTTCACTGGTTAGAGGGGGAAGGGAGCCATCATCGCGCACGTTTCCACACTTGTTTTCATGTTTAGGGTTTAAACTTACCAATAATCACACAAAATATTTGCATATACGTAATCACTTCTGCAGTTGTACTATGTAGGTATTCGTGACCAATCATGTTAATGGTTACCATCATGGCCATTAGGCATATGAATACATTAGTAAATGGACACATCCTACTATGACTTCTGTTTAAACCATCTGTCATCGATTTTTAAAGTGCATTTCCATAAATTGGTTGCCCTGGAATATAAAGCAAACATTCGAATGTATGTACGGTCAAGAAGGGAATTTAGATTTATTTAGTGTGTGTGTCAAAATATTTTATTAATTGAATACAATCTAATTGCAGTATATACACGTTTTTGTACGTAATTTTTACTTCGTCAAGCCAAATATGTTTACTAGACGGGCAGAAAATACCCCACGACGAAACTCTTGTGTTTGTAAAGTATTTAGCTCTGGATAATAAAATACATTGAAAGAAGTTCCAAATTTATACTTTATAAAAGACACCACACAGAAAGAAGTTTGCCCGTGGGAGTATCTATTTACACAAAGATGGTAAAATGCAGACTTCAACTTTGCTGCGAGAACATATGTAACTTTAAAAATGATGCAAGTCTTAAACTGTAATGGAAGGGACAAACCATACCGATCTTGGAAATTCTCGTAGGTTGACGGTTCCCTTCCCATGTCCAAAATGTGCCAGCTCCTATGCTTTTAAACCCTTCCCTACATCCGTTCTTCTCTTTATTGCGCTACTCAAACGCTGTTGTAAGCCGACCCACACACCATAATTTTGCGATGGACTTGAAATTTAAAATTTAAGGGTTTATTGACCTGAAAAATCTGTTTCTACTTTTGTTGCACAATTCATTCATTTAATAGTCTAATTTATGCACAACCTTGAAATTTATATAATTGTATGAAATGAGATTTGAGCAGAGCGTTAACATGTAGATGTATAAAAAAAACAATATCCGAGCTACTCCGTTTTTCGAACTCTTAAAAATACCCAATCTGTTCTTTTTCACAAAGAAATATCCGATCAAATCCAATCGAACCATATCAAATCCAACACATTTCCCACTCATTTTCAACTCAAAAACAAAGCAATGTACAAATAGAGTCAAAGTGTAATAATTTTTTCATAAAGTATTTGCCGTAACTCCCCCTGGTTCTGCTGTCAGCTGAAAAATAAGCGTGGTCGATCTCGTCCATGTTTGACTTTCCAAGACTTGCTTATCCAGAGGACCTTGTGTCGTCTAGGCATTCGGAACTCTGCATACTTGCATGTGCGTGGTAGAGAATGAAGTGGGTATGCAAAATATGAAATTATGAAAAAAACGTTAAAATACTCCTGTTTTTTTGGCTATAAAATCTCGCGGTAAAAAGGTTTCCACCTGGCACACCCAGTTCGAACTCACTTCCATTCAAAAACCGATGTCTACTAAACTTTTAAGTTGGCATAAGCTTTGAATGGATGTGGTTGCGAACTGTGTGGGCCAGGTGGAAACCCTTTTACCGCGAGATTTTATAGCCAAAAAAACAGGAATCGGATCAAATTTTGTATGTTTTTAATGAAGGATTGAATCTAATTGTAAAACAGTAATAACTTATGTAGAAGTAGAGGCTTACGTATTAATTAATTGTTACGGATGTGTAGATTATGTAAAAAAAAATGTATGTAACAAATAAATATAATCATGAATGATTGCACTCTTAGAAATCCATACTTTATATGACGTAAAATATAACTCGATATAACTTCCAAAGTGCCACTACCCCACTTATAGCGAATCGCTCTCTCTCGACCACAAAGTAAGCCATTTTACCCTGTAACAATATTCACAGGGTAACTGAGCGCCCAATAGGGTAACTGAGCGCCCAATAGGGTAACGACCGTAACCCTAAATCGCGTTGATTATGACTTTACTTTCTTGCTTTGATGACCCCAGGAAAAGTTACTTAAGCGTAGTCGCAGTATTTAGTACTTTAATAATATATTTTATTTCACATTCAACATTGCATTACAAATTACCCTTATTATGAACCACTAGTGAGGATATTTGTAAACGCTGGACCCTGTTAACTTAAGATAATTTTTTAATGTTATACTAAAGTTTTAAAATTAGTTTTGCACTTAAAACAAAGATATACCAGCTAAGTTCTCACAAATTGTACAATGCATTCCAAAGGCGACCTAAAATGACCTAGAAAACCTGACAATTTTCTCCTGAAATTATTAACAGAGTCGCGTCCGTAATATCGTCGTCTGTTTAAAGACAATTAAAATAAAAATTAAACGCAATGTAAATTAAATTTGTGTATAAATTATGCAAATTATGCGAATTTCTTACCCTTCAGCGTCCCCGTCCAAATTGTTGCAATAACCTCCTCGTTTCCTCCATTATTTGCTTATGAGTTAACTAACTAATTAATTAATTATCAATTTAACTAACCAGCACTGACTTGCTGAGAGCGAGTTGTAATGAGAGAATATCCTAAATGGGGTTTGCTTACTCTAAATGGTATAATAGCTTACTTTGTGGTTTAGAAAATAGTGGTTTTACTTCACATTTGGTGACTTTTGTCATTACTTTGAATGAAGTTGACCATTTTACTTCGAATCAAGTGAGGTTTACTTTAAAGCGCATAACGTTCCATTTTACTTCATGCAAAGATATTGCATTTTCTAAGAGTGTGGATTATTAATTTCTTTATTTTATGTATTTCTTAATGGTAACTTTTTCATTGCCATGATATTGCTAAACGGTAATGCTCTTTATTACCGTGCCGGTAAAGTAGTACATACACACTTGTTTGTATGTATTTGTATGTATATGTATGCAGACATTATTTAATACCAGTTTGCCTGACATTATTTAATACCAAAAGTGTATATAAATAAGTAATAATCGGTATTTACATTATGCATCTCACTCAACCTCACAGTAATAATTTTTCAGTCGGATGTACATAGTGCAGATGACGTGTGTATTTAGCTGCAAATAAACATTTCATAGTAAGAATTTAACTATTTAATTAAACATGTATCAACTTCTCTGAATGAATGCTAATTGATTGCGGTATGATTTTCTGTCTGCATGTACCCCCTTAAAAATAATATAACCCTTTTCATCACTAAATACAGTATGAATTTTAATTTAAATATACTATGCAAATTCCAGATGATACTTGATAAAGAGCACAGGTTACCCTGGATTTCGTCTAGCATGCTTAATGCAGAATTCAGAGTGCAACTTTGCACTTTGCAACTTTGCACTTTGCAAAGTGGAGCTTTATTTTTAAGAGTGTATTCAACACTTTCGTATTTGCATTCATGACTAAGATCGGGATTCCTGATTGGGGGCTTTGCATAATGAATTCGCTGAAGTTTTAACCTTTATTTGTTTAACCCTCGTGTAATTTTCTAGTCCACCTTATGTATGTATATCACAGATAATTAATTTATGCACGAACACCTCGCAAAAAAATTCAGCCAACTCGTCTGACGCATATTTGCAAAGAACTGGTTTACTCGAGAGGATTAAGAACAAGTTGGCACATTTTCTCACCAGCCATTCTACGTCCGAATGTCACGTCGTCACAAATCTTTGCCATTTTATACATTAAACACAATTTTGTAAATACCTACTTTTCAGAAAATGGAACAGTTTTCTGTATTTGGGAAAGTGGCAGTTTTTCTTAGTATTTTTGTTGTAATGTCGGTAAGTAAATGAAGAGTTATTTCAATACATTGTAAACAAATCTACTTAATTCACTAAATATTTTTAAGCAACTATTGCATTCTTGCAAAAATTCAGGAAATATGTAAATTTTTGTTCCGATCTTATCACTAAAATTGTCATATTTTAATTCTAGATGGCTAACACAATCCGATCCGACCCGAATCGGAATGATACAGAGACAACCACCACTACCACAAATAATACGGGTAATTTAATCGACATCTAATTATCCCCAGTATGCAAATTATTTCCGGTGGCGACACAGTACCTCTGTTTTATCGCAGATATTTTGTCACCATTCCGTCCAATGGGGACAAGACCGACACCAATTGAACTTGGGGGCACGACCACGACGGCTACCACGACCACCACCGAAAAACTGGACGCCACGATTGACCGGGTCAACAACGGGGTCAGCACAATCCTCGAGGGCGTAATGTCACTCGACCTCGCAAAGATTCTGAGAGGCGCGTTCATCTTCCCGAAAAGCAATAAGGTCAAAAGTGTCGCGAATAATGTGATCGACACGATTTTTGGGCCGGAAGTGTCCACTAATAATTCTGTTATTTTACCATAATAGAAATCTCGATGATATGTGCACATACATATCTAAATTTATAAAATTTCATGGAAACTTGAAAATTTTACAAACTTAAAACTTTACAACTATGAAAAATATTTTGTTTCTTTGCTAAAAGTTCGGATTAAAATATGTACCAATATAATATGTACGCTGTGACAAATAGAAATGATTTTATGTATTTATTACCTTGAATTGGGTCAAAGTTTTAGCAAAGTCAAAATTAATTATAACGGATTTCATATATTTTTGGTGGTTTATCAAAACTCATAATTATTTGTAGCATACATATTTATGTAGGTATTAAGTAGGCATTTGCATTCATAAAATATCGATATTTGGAATATCGTAATGTGAAGAATATTTATTTTTCACGCATGTTATTCTTGTATTTTTCATGCATGTTTCTCATACATGCACGAATTTAAAAATGTTGGTTCACGATCCTTAAATAATTTTGTTTGTATACATGAATGATTTTTATTTTTTCAAAGTTTTATGTTCTGTTTTTATCATGCATTTAGTATTTAGTCAATAGTTGTATTGAACATTTATTTATCTAGGTATGTATGTATGGACCACACAATATGGTGGCGTAGATATGTATAAGTGGAAGTACTTTTACAGTGGCGCAACTACATTTCGGGGGCCCCTAGGCAGGCGACAAAACTTAAAATTTTCTACACTAGAAGTTTTGGGTCTACTTTATTCGTTTATCTTAAAGAGAAAAGTATTAATTATCATGTCACATGTCGATATAGCTGTAACAATTAAAGTTAAATTACGTAATCCACAACGAAATGAGTAGATGCATACTTATGTATGTAACATCGTCCGCTAAATTAAAACACTTCTAGGTTTTGTGGCGGAAAATTGAGATATCCAATCTTCTATTTCTAACCTGGAATGCAGGAATGCTAGTGAGTTGAGTTGAGTTGAGGGTTAACTCAACTCAACTCAGAACAAAAATAGTTGGCTCTAACTCAACTCGACTCATGGCAAATGAGTCGACTCACCGATTTTAAGAGCTTTTTCAACTCAGTCATTTTGAAATGAGTCGAGTTATACTCTACACTCAAATCCAATTCAAACGAGTTGACTTGAACTCGTTGGCAGTCCTACAGTGGAAAGTGTTCAGTATTCAATATTTAAAATCTGAGTATTTGGTAACCTGTCTTATGACATGGTTCCAAATAGTTCTTCACCAGCTTTCACTTCGAAATCGATCTCCCTGCCGTCACTACTTTTACTGGGATGGTAAGATATATTAGAACAGCGGCCAATATATCCGGACATGAAGCAGTTAATCTAAAGAGTAGAAGGTCACTACTTGTCGGGCCCCGATTTCGATCTCCTTTGGATATGTTGTAATACTATATGAGTGTAGAAAAAGTGAAGGAGGGTTAGACTCCATGAGCCCATTTACGCCCGCCACACCCCCTCAAAGGCGCCTAAACCCCCGGAGTTGCCGCACTAAATTCATCGCCAAAAATCGAGTTTTGGTCAGATTTTCAAAAAAATTACATTTTTGTGATCCCAGATAGTTGCTCTATCATATCCAATAGCAAACTCAACTTTTTTGGAATTTCGAATTTTTTCAATACATACCCTTGGTCAGAAAATCTTCGAAAATATTGAAAATTTCAAAAAACTTGAGTTTGCTGTTGGATATGATAGAGCAACTATCTGGGATCACAAAAATGTAATTTTTTTTGAAAATCTGACCAAAACTCGATTTTTGGCGATGATTTTAGTGCGGCAACTCTGGGGGTTTGGGCGCCTTTGAGGGGGTGTGGCGGGCGTAAATGGGTTCATGGAGTCTAACCCTCCTTCACTTTTTCTACACATATGTAGTACTACAACATATCTAAAGGAGATCGAAATCGGGGCCCGACAAGTAGTGACCTTCTACTCCTAAGCTGAAAAATCTTTTGTTCAATAGAAAAAATATTCCTCAGCTTAATCTTTTCCGCGCGAAAACAAGAAATTATTTCCAAAACCACTGTCACGTCTGATTCATGGGCTTTTACTGATCGTTTAAATCTTCGATCAATTATAACATTCAGATGTAGGAATGCAAAATTTGTCTGATACCGCGTGCATGCATACAAATCGTTCTTTTAGAGTGCTAATCATTACTTGGCAAATTGGGTTCAAAACTATCTAGCTTCTTGCAGGATAACTCTATTAACTCAAAATTCATGTGGATAGGAAGCATTTCATAATTTTTTTTGAGGAAACTTACTTCCTCAAATAATACAAGTGTAGGCACCTTATATTAGGCTCGCACCGTAGTAGCATTGACCTCCACAATCTTGAAGAGTTACATAGTTCCATGCCCGTTGCAATATAATGCAGAAATTGCTAGTATGATTTTGCGCCCCGACCGTTGATTTCGAAAAATCCCATAAAAGTTTCTCTGATTTGAATGGATGTCCAGTGGTCTTATTTTTGCTTTGGTAGCCCAACTCATCCGTAACTTGGCCTATCTCACACTACGCTGTGACCTTTTTTTAGCAAGGCTGCGAATTTTGTAGTAAGTAAATTTTTGAACAATATAATACGTACCTATTAATGTTGTACATATGAGAATTTTGAAGAATCGTAAAAATTCTCCTTATACAAAGAACCCACAATTTAATTCGAATGCATCGTGTACCACATGTCGAAATCTTCAGGCTGAATTGGGCTACCAACTCAAAAACAACATCAATACAAGACATTAATTAAATTAATTAAGTAATAAATTAGTATGAAATAACTTCTCTTCAACATTTTTGAAATAATTTTTTCGAGTCAAAATATCTAGTGTAGATAAAGTGTCCACCCGGGGGCCCCCGCTGTCGCGGGGGCCCCTAGGCCTTGCCTACCCTGCCTACGTGCTAATTTCGCCACTGTACTTTTAACGTATTTGTATATCTGTACACTCTTAGAAAAGTGGTACTAAATTCTTACTTGTCGGATTATTACAGATATATGACTTCATACATATAATGAGCTTAACGTTTCTGTTTTGTCTGGGTAATGAAAAATTTTACAATTCGGAAACAAACTACTTCTAACCTGTAGGAAATTATTTCCAAGTCAATATCAGTACCTGACTCTGTCAAATTTTTAACAGTGTACATACATATATTTAATATATCATCCCTTATAAATATCTAAATATAATAAATAATTTGTTACTTCGTGCAAATCCATAACTACAAAAATCATTCATTTCGCCTCTTAAATAATTTAATAAATTCCATACCCAACACGACGATAAGGGACCATTCATAAATTGTGTGACAAAAAAATCGCGATTTTCCAAACGCTATGTGTCACAATAGTTTGATTCCTACTTCTTCCTCTACCGGTACATACATACCTTATGAATGGCCCCTAAATTATATAATAATACCGATCAATACTGGTGACGTACATACGTAGAGCAACTTACACAACCATATACATTTTTATCACTGAAAACTATAACCATATTCAATCTAACATCGCTAATTTTATTTTATCTACAAAATATCATCATGTATAATTATCATTTCTCAACTTTTCGCAAACTTTGTTTAACATGCGCCCTCTCAATTTTTCTAGTAGAGGTAGTAACGTCATTGGAAGGGAAAGATGGTTGCATTCTGTACATGAGAGTTGATCAAGGTTCTAAAAACGAGGGTTTGGAAGATGTGCTAATTGGTGCAGGTAGTCATGTTAGTAGTCAAAATTCATTTGTTATTTTTACCAGAAGATTGATATCGTTTTCCGGTACACACTTGCCTTTGGTCTCTCAGCATATCAGCAATCTAGCGATCGCCCTACTTTCCCCAAGTTTACTTGCACGCAGAGAAAATGAAATAAATTTTGACTCCGAAATACGAAATGGCGGATTTGTCCCTACTCTGGCACATCTCATTTTCAGGCCAGATTTCATATTTATTTTGGTCCTTGGGGATGATAATATTCAAAAAGTGTCGTGTAAGGGCTGTTTAAACTACTCATTTTCTCTATTCCTCATACTTGTTGAAACAACTGAATCAAATTCATTTGACGACTTTTCCCTACAAATTGAAGACCTTCCAATTCGTCACGTCTACTCGAGACAACTCCAAAAATTCGAACCCATTCAAGACCAGCGTTTCGTTTTCCATAATCTCTACGGAAACCCACAATTTTCCACGGATACCAATCACCACCAACTCCCAACGCGAATTCAAATGCCAGCGGCCTCATTTCCAATCAAGTGTAACGTTTTAATGGATGGAATACGCGCCCGATACAAGGACATATCAATTCGTTTACGCACCAGGTTTATGGAGGAAGTCGTCTTTTTATCTAGAACTCTAAACTCTACCGCGATCCAGGGCTCTGGCTACGGGCATATCACTCTGCACCATCTGATAACCGACATGAGACGATTCGACTTGGAAACAAGAACCATATGGGCAGACGAGGTTCAAATGTTCGTTATATATTGCAGACCATACGTCCGCATGCAGACATCGTTACGGGTCTGGCTCACCCCATTCCAGACAAACGTATGGATCGGGATATTACTAGTTTTCGTCGTGATTACAACAACTAATCGAGATCCTGGCAAAATAATGGTATCTTCTATCACCAAGAAGTTTACGAATTACATTACCACGTGGCTGTCCTCGTCTTACTTTCTCCTCTCCCTTTTGCTACGGGAACCCGTACGGAACTTTTCGCGGGCCTACGTACCCTTCGTCGCGCTAGTGCTACTCGTCACGTGGGGGTATGAAGGCTGCATCACTACAAACATTATCGCACCCGCGGAACCTTTCCGCTACGAGAATGTCGGTCAGTTTATAAATTCTTCGCAAACAGTTGTCCTCTATTCAGGATATCTTAACATGCCCGAATTAGTTAACGAATACAATCCTGTGTTTTTAACGGAGTTGAAAACGTTTGGAATTGCGGAAGAAAAAAAGGTTCGTTCTTTCCGTATTATTCGGGGGGCTGGACATTTATTTGACGACCTTATTATGCGATGGGATAATATATCACATATGGGTTATCTTGACTGCCGGACTCGGAGTTTTGTTCCGGTTTACATGGAAAGGGTACAAATCGTTATGGATTTAGGGAAAGTGGAGGGTAAAGATGATACCTATAAATGTCAACAGTTTCCGTTTGGTGATGCAAAAATGTCTTTTACAAGTTTCAAGTTTGTCCTAGCCAGAAGAGCCATGGATTTGCATACTTTCTTATTAGAA